TATGGTTCTCTGACTACCACTGAGGCCTCTGGATTGGAAAAGTTCATTACTAGAAAATATAAAATAAAACATTCTCGGATGCCCCTAAGGACCGCATCACTGATGGAGGCAGAAGATGTCACAGGAGGCTGAGGGGCTGTGGAAACTGTGGGATGTGGGTGCAGAACTGATGACAAAGACACACATCAGCGGAGTCTGATAAAACCTCCTAATTACCTGTGATCCACTCTAAGTCCAGTAAAGCCGCTGATGCCTCCCTGAGCCAAACCCGCCCATCAGGGGTCAGTCCCGGGTCCCAGCAGCAGACGCGCCTCAGTGTCTCCACTGTGTGTAGTCACTGCAGGGAGGAGCTCCCACGACACGTGTCTTTGCATTAACCAGGTCGTGGGTGTCACAGATCAGATCTGGGCGCCTGGTCTGTGGGTTCCCTGATGGTGGAGAAGCGGAAGGTGCAGTCCCAGGGCCAACACACCGTCCATGCATTTTTATATGGAAACCATGATGTTTCTTGCTTCTCTCAGATGACATAGAAGACGTCTCCTTATTGGAAATTACTCTTAATTTATCTCTTAGAATCATTGTTTCCAGAGCCCTGGCCACCCAGTGCGCCCCATGGAATGGGGCGGTGTCGGGCTGACCCCAGCACCAGCTGCCACATCTTCCACGCCGGGAGCAGATGCAGACGTGACGGAGACAGAGCATGAGACGCCTGGTCTGATGGCGCTGGAGACAGAACAGCCCATTCTCACCCGAGCCCATGGCTTCCAGATCGTCCCCAACATCAGGAAGAACTGGATCCTGCGAGCTCAGCGGTCACCGTTTCCTCCTTCTATGACGTCACAAGGAACCGCTGTCAGATCGTCAGCGTGGGCGGAGCCAAGGCGACCATCAACAGCACAATCGCACCAAATACGACCTTCCCCAAAACGCCACAGAAGTCTGGGCAGGGCCGACAGCGGAGCCCACACGGTGTTTGCTTTGGGGTTTTCCTCTGAGCAGCAGCTGACAACGTTTGCGGAGAAATTCCAGGAGCTGGAGGAAGCTGCGGAGATGCCCAAAGACAAGGCCCCGGAGAAAACCGAGACCTGGAGTCACGGTTCCCAGTGATCTGGGCGTGAAGCCCCATCTGCGGCTGCGGCATCCAGTGTCGAGGGCGGCGATGAAAAGGCCTCTCAGCTGCGGCAGCCGACACGCACCGGAAGTCTAAGAAGGACGCGCTGAGATCGCCGTGATGCAGAGCGCGGCCACCGCGCAGGAGCGGAAGCTGTGGCTGCAGCCCCTGAGGAGAGCCACGCCCTGCGGACCACGGCGCTGCAGGAGGCGGTGGCCAGCGGGGAGCCCGGAAGAGGCCAAGACACCAACAGGGAGGAGCAGACGAACGCGCAGCTCAAGAGGAGGATGGAGGAGCTGGAGGCGGAGCTCCGAGAACAGGAGAGGGAGCTGAAAGGTCTCCGAAAACAAAGTGAAATCCCACCTCAGCTCCTGTCAGAGCGCGGCTGTGTCTCTGAGAAGCTCGAGGCGGCTGAGACAATGAAAACCTGGAAGACAGAGGTCGCTCCCTAAAGACAGACACTGAGGAGAGCAAACGCCCACAGCGCCACCTGGAGGTGGAGGCGAACAGTTTCCCGGAGCTCCTGGACTGGAAGTTCGATGACCCGCCGGACTTCCGCCCAGGCCTCTGGATCCCCAGCACTGATAACTAGAGCTGGTGAGACCTGGGCCGGCCCTTGAGTCCCACACATGTGTGCGAGACCAGACAGCCCTAGGTCGTTCTCCTGTGTGTTCTTCTGTAAATGCAGGCACAGTTTGTTGTGTTTCCAAACCAGCTGTGCCATCCACTCACTCCTTTCCAGAAGATAAATCTCTGGCTTCTCTGGCTTTGTGAGGGTGCAGACAACTGTAAGATTCTGCCTCAGGAATCCAAAACTAGGTCTACCTTAAACATTTAGGCAGTCAGGACAGGGATGTTTATATCTTTGGTAAAGGCTGTTGCAACCATCCAAACTGAAAAAAAGGCATTTTTTCCCCCTTAAGTCGTAGTCTTGCTCTATTGCCCAGGCTGGAGTGCAATGGTGCAACCTCGGTTCACTGCAATCTCTGCCTCCTGGGTTCAGGCAGTTCTCCTGCGTCAGCCTCCCAAGTAGCTCTGATTAATCCAAATATTGATATTATTTAGAATAGGCCATCAGGCTCTTTTTATCAAATAGCATTCAGAATATTTGAATGTCCAGCAGGCGTCTGCCCCGTTGGGGCACAGAAATAACAATATTCCTCTCTGTCAACATTGAGAAGCTTTAAAACAACTGTTTTGTGGAGACTTATCGAGAGTTGGAAACCAAGTTTCTGGTGGGTGCAATTTCTGGCCTGGGAATCACTTGCATCAACGATATGGCCTCCTGTCCCCCAATATTTATGGTTGCAACAATGCTTCTTGTCTTGGTTTTAATTTCTAAATAGATGATTCTGGGCTGGTAACAGCTCACAGTGAGGGTGCCTAGCACAATGCCTGGTACAAAGTGGGTGCTTAATAAATTGTTGTTCAGTTTTCAAAAAAGAATTACTTTTTCCAAAGCCCCACTCAAAACCAGGGTATTATTACAGGTGTAAAAGTTGGACCAACATTGGAAATACATTCAGTTTAGTTCATGTTTTGTTCTTGAATATGCTTTTTTCTTTTAAAGTTGTTCTCAGTTGCAATATCACACAAAATATTAGTAATTTACACTAATGATATAGGTTAAAATATTGTATAAATAAGATAGTGACATTTCATTTAAAAAAAATACATGTTCCGCGTGTCTTGACAATTTTTCCTTCTCAGTGAAACGTATCCTTATTAAGTTTCAGATGTTACTATTATTTTTGTGATTTCTGAGATTTAATTTTAGTACGCATACCTGAATGAATTTTATTAATTCGTGTAATAATGTTGATAGTTTGAATAGTGCTTAATATTAATTTTACTATTTCTAAATTTTAAACTATTCTGCATTTTTTTGTTTTTATGAGATAAAATTTCCATGTAAGAAAAAATGCATAGATTTGAAATGTGTCACTGGAGAATTTCTGTCAAATGTGAATATCCTTGTTCCCAAAACCTAATGTAGCCTGAAAAACAAGTCCATTCTCCCAGCACGGGTCTTTCTCTGTGCCTGCAGTCAACACCTACATTGGGGAAATGTTTTGACTTCTGATACTATAGATATATGTTTTTTTCTGTTTTGAACTTTATATAAATGTAATCAAACATTATAGACCTATTTTGGTAAGAGGCTACTTTGCTATTTTTGAGGTTATTTCATGTTATTTAATATAAAATATTAGATAACATATTGTCATTTATTCAATTAATGGACTGATTCTGATATGAAACCTCAATGTTTTCATGTACATATGGAGAGAGAGGGAGAGAGAAGGAGAGAGATTTTACATCTGAGTCAGTCCATTAAGTAAATAAATGACAATATTTTGATTTATTTTCCTGTTAATGGATTTTAAATTTCTTTCCAGTTTATGAGTATTATAAGCAAAGCTGTTAGAAATGTCTTAGTGTATGTTTTCTTATGTTGTCTCATTTTTATTGAGAAGATATGAAGTATGTATTGCTTTTTTCTAAGAGCAAATTTGATTTTTTTTAGTTTTTGAAGTAAAATTGAAATATTTTAATAATATATGTGTTTAAGGTGCCCCACTTGATATTTTGAACATGTATTAGTCAATTCTCACACTGCTATAAAGAAATGCCTGAGACTGAGTAATCTGAGGGGTAAAAAGATGTTTAATTGGCTCCCGTTTCTGCAGACTGTAGAAGTGTAGTGGCTTGTCCTTCTGGGGAGATTCAGGAAAGCTAGATTCGTGACATAAGACAGAGGGGAGCAGGCACATCACATGGCCCGAGCAGGAACCACAGGAAAGGGGGGGGCGTCTACACATCGTTGGACAATCAGATCTTGTGAGAACTCACAAACATTCATGAGAACAGCAACAGGATCTGATTCCAAACCATCCATGAAATAACCACCCCATGGCCCAGTCATCTCCCAGCAGGTCTGACCTTCACAATTGAGGATGATGTTGCAACATGGGATTTGGGACAGGACACAGATCCAAATCGTATCACACACATCGTGAAAGGCTCATCATGGTCAAGGTAATTTGTGTATCCCTCTTCTCGCAGAGCTAACATTTATTTTGAATGCACTGCGTGTGTGTGTGTCACATGAGGACACCTAAGAGCTACCTTTTCAGCAAAAATCACGTTCACGATACAGTATTAAATACAGGAACATTGCTGTACATTAGATCTCCAGAGGTCATTCCACCTGCATAACAAAAATTCTGCGCCGTTTGTCCAACATCACCCTTTTCCCTCTCCTCACAGTGCTGGGACCCACTGTTCTACTCTGCTTTAAGTGCATGGACATTTTAGGTCCCACATGTAAATGAGATCGTGAAGCATTTGTCTTTCTGCATCTGACTTATTCCAGTTAGAATCATGTCCTCCCGGAGCATCTGTGTTGTTGCAAATTTCAGAGTTTCCATCTTTTCAAAGCCAAATAAAATTCAGCTGTATATTTATATTACAACCCATCTGTGCTTTTGCTGATGATTTTTCACCTGTAACGTGGAAATAACATTAATACCACATACCATGTTTTCTCTACATATGTAAAAATAAAAGATTATTGGTGCTAATCTTAAATATATGCAGTGTGTACAGATCTATTGTACCACAATACAACTGTTTTAAAATAGAAATTACAAAATTATAACTTTCATAGGTTTAAGGGTTTATCACAAAACAAACTTGCAATAAGAAACCACAATTTCCCAATGCTATCAATGTCACAAATCTCCCCCAGTACACTGTCCCGTGCTCTGAGCCCCACTCTCTCCTCAGTCCTCTCACCACAGATCTTGCTATATAGCAGGAGACATGCAAATAGAGCCGTCCCTCTGCTGATGAAAACCAGCCCAGCCCTGACCCTACAGCTCTGGGAGAGGAGCCCAGCCCTGGGATTTTCAGGTGTTTGCATTTGGTGATCACGACTGAACTCAGAGACTGAACTCACCATGGAGTTTGTGCTGAGCTGGGTTTTCCTTGTTGCTATTTTGAAAGGTAATTCATGGAGAAATAGAAAAATGAGTGTGAATGGACACTACTGAGATAAGCAGTAAATCTGTGTAACAGTTTCTGACAAGGGTGTCTTTTTGTTTGCAGGTGTCCAGGGTGAGGTGCAGCTGGTGGAGTCTGGGGGTGGCTTGGTTAAGCCAGGGGGATCCATGAGACTCTCCTGTGCAGCCTCTGGATTCACCTTCAGTAACTATGGCATGCACTGGGTCCGCCAGGCTCCAGGAAAGGGGCTGGAGTGGGTCTCAGCTATTGGTACTAGTGGTGACACATACTACACAGACTCCGTGAAGGGCCGATTCACCATCTCCAGAGACAACGCCAAGAACTCGCTGTATCTGCAGATGAACAGCCTGAGAGCCGAGGACACGGCCGTGTATTACTGTGCGAGAGACACAGTGAGGGGAAGTCAGTGTGAGCCCGGACACAAACCTCCTGCAGGAACGCTTGGGGGAAATGAGCTGCAGGGGGCACTCAGGAGCCACTGATCAGCGTCATCCCCAGAGGCAGGTGCAGATGAAGGCTGATTTCCCGTCAGGATTTGGGACTTCATCTCCTTCCGACTGTTTCTCTAGTGAAAGTTTCTAAGTTTAGAATTCCGTGTTTACTATTATGATCTCTTCATATTTTTGTTTAATTATACTGTAAGTACTGGGAGACATGTGCAGACCATGCAGGTTTGTTACTTAGGTATTCACATGCCACGGTGGCTGGCTGCATCTGTCACCCCGTCATTTACCTTAGGTATTTTTCTTAATGCTATCCCTCTCTACATAATTTAAAAAGATTATTTTAATATGAGGACTATTCTCACATGCACCAAATGCAGATGACGCTTACAGAGATGAAAAGTCCTCAACCGTGGTCACCAGCATCAGAGTCCCGAGGAAACTCAGCAACGCCTGGTGAGTCTTCTCCAATCAGACCCAGGGCAGAAACCTCAGGGAGATTCCCGGACTAGAACAGTCTTTAGGAAGTTAGATCACAGCCGACAGAGAGGCTGGGCCAGGGTCAGTGTCACCTAGAACCTCATAAGCTTCACGTCTGACTCTTCTCCTGACACTAAAGCCAATCAGCAGCAGCAGTGACCTGGTGCTTTTGATTTTAATTCATGTTCTTTCTCTGCAGTGTTTGTTCTCCCCTCTGTATTTGCTTTGCCTGCTTCCTGAAGAAGAAACAGAGGGTCTCTGTGGTCTTTACTCCAGGGCTCACGGCATTTTCTTGGATTGCAGGTGGGGCTCAGGCTGTGGCTCCTGAAGCCACATGGGAGGGGCTGATGGGACTTCCTTCTCTCCCCATTTGCTCAGGACCCTACACTGTGTGGTGTGTAGACTCATCTGGGAATGCCATTGGCCATTAATACTAAAGGGATAGACTTACTTGAACAAAATGCGGTGTGGATGTGGAATTAACCCTGCTCTATGCAAATTGCAGAGTCATCTGCTTCAGAAGTAGTGTTAGAAAGAGCTTATGAAATGTATCAGAATCAAAATGGAGCCACTTGTGTTAAAACTCTAACGAATGAAGCTGGGGAAGGCCAGGATGGAGGGTCTAACACATATTTCTGATAGCAAGAACTTTCATGAGTAGACTCTTCACAGCCACAGCCTTGCAGAGAGGCCACCACAGACTTCAAATAATTACTTCTCCAAGTGTATCTGCCCAGCAACTTCCTATTCAAACTCACACCAATGTCCATACTGTGACTGCTTCTTCCTGCCCAGGATAATTGCCTCAAAACAGCTGATGTAACTCTCCCCATTTTTCCTTAATTCTTTATTTGCCTTTACCAACCTGAATGCCCCACACTCACTTCAATTGCAATACACATCCTGGAGTAGATATTATTATGTTTCAGAGTCACCTTGTGTCAGTTATTCAGGGTTGACAAGTACTGATTGACACGCCACATTTCAGGGATACATAAAGGATGACAGTTTTTGGAGATGGCTAGGAACATCCAGTGTCCATACATCAGCATGGCAGCTGAATAGATATGCCTGACATTTGTCTATCCCATATGACAGAACCACAGAATGGAATAAACAGCTAAGACTAGACTGCAGAGTTGAAAAGAGACCTAGAGGGAAGAAGGGGAGAGGAGAGGTTCCTGTGGTTACTAGAAGCCCAGTAGGGCTGTGTGAAAGCACCCTGTCTCTGCAGCTTCATACTGAAAGGCTCACACAGACTCCGAATCACATGAGATTATCCCTGTTGAGGAAAGTTAAATAAAATAACCACATAAGGCCCCATGGCAATCACACATATCATCAATCCTTACTACAAAATAATTCCACAGTGCTTGCAAACCCTGAGCTCAATTTGCAGAGCTGGAAGGAATTCATGCAGCTGTATTGCACCAGGATAGAAGCAAACTCTGTACTCCATTCCCACCACCCATTCCTTTAGCCAAATTGCTGCAGCCTGATACCACCTTGAGACCAGAGACACTTCTGGAGGGTCCCCTTCTTCTAGGCCAGTATTCATTCCTGATTCCACACTGGGCCTCTGTTTCCATTCCATCAAACACATAGTCCCCTTCTTCTAGGCCAGTAGTCATTCCTGATTCCACACTGGGCCTCTGTTTCCATTCCATAAAACACATATTCCCCTTCTTCTAGGCCAGTAGTCATTCCTGTTTCCACACTGGGCCTCTGTGTCCATTCCATCAAACACGTAGAAGTCGTTGAATACCACAATATCGTCTGCACAAAGACTAGACCCAAGATCCCCTTTGACTCTGGTGTTTCCCAGCAGGAAGCCAAGCATTGAGGAGACCAAAAACAAGAAAATTATAGCTGTAATTTAAGGTCTCCAGTCAATGAAAACTCCCAGGATTCGAGGGCCTTACTGCTGAATTATCACAAACATTTAAAGAAGAAACAATACGTACACTCCTCAAAATATTCAAAAAGATAGATAGGGAGGGAATACTTTCAAATGTGCCATATGGGATCAGTATTACCCTGATATGAAAACCAGGCAAAGAAATAAAAAAACCTACAGGCCAATATCTTTGATGAATATAGATGCAAAAATCCACAATAAAATTTTAGCAAACCCAATTCAACACCACATTAATAGTCATTCATCATGACCAAGTGCAGGTTATCCCAGTGAAGCAAGACTGGACGAGCATATGCAAATAAATCAGTGTGACACATCACATCAACAGAAAGAAGGAGCAAAGACATAAGATCAGGCCTCACCTCGTTCTCCTCACTCAAATCTACCATCAGTGCCTTGTTCCTCCTGGCCAGTCCTGCTGTACGTGATCTGTGATTCCTCTCCCAGGTCCTGAAATGCGGGGCTTTTGGAGGGGACTCAAGATGGCGCTGTGAGAACAACCCAGGATTGGAGCCCGCGTTGAATTCGCAAACGGTGAGTCAGTGCTGCATTTCCAGACTGATCTTTGTTGCCCACAGAACGGGGAAACTCCCAAGTATAAAAAGACACGGGACGCCAGGCAGTAGGTCTGCCTGGCGAAGCCGGCAGCCGGGGCGGCGGCGGCCGGCCCTACCCAGCAATCCCCACAGGGCGCGCTTGTCCGGGTGCCTTGTTGAACTGGCAACCTGAGACTTGAGAGGGCTGGACTTGAGACTGAACGAGACTTGCACAGTAGCCCAGCCCAGGGGATTGCAGAGAAAGATCGCTTGGGATACCCAGTGGGACGAACAAAACCGCGATTTCAAACTATCCCGGGCAGACGGTCCGAGACGCTCTGTGGGGGAGGGGCGTACACCACTATGGAGGCAACCTGCCCCAACTGATATACACGCCCACTGCTGAGGCAGCCAGCCGTTGCCGAGGCAACCCGCCCCAACTGAGATACACGCCCACTGCTGACGCAGCCAGCCGTTGCCGAGGCAACCCGTCCCTACTGAGATACACGCCCACTGCTGACGCAGCCTGCCGTTGCTGAGGCAACACGCTACAACGAAGAGACTCCGCCGCAGGGCGTGGCGGAGACCACAGCAGAGCCGGCAGGAACAGCGCGAATCACACAACAGCAGGGCGGAGCCTCGGCAGCCAAACAGTGGCTAGTCTGCCTTTGAGCTGGGCAGGACACCTGATCGGACATCCAAAAATAAAGCCCAAACCCCTCAACACAGAGCATTTGAGAAAAAAAAAAAAGGTTGTTTAATGAGCTGTGTTGCAGCAGAATCAAACATAGCAGCCTAACAGCCCTGAATGAACAACAGAGTGCACAGCTCAGCAATTAAACCCCTATAAAGTACAAACTGTCTCCTCAAGCAGCTCCCTGACCCCTCTATATCCAAAAGACTGTCATTAGGCAGGCATCATCCTGGGACAAAGAGAGCAGAAAAAGAAACTGGTAGCATCCCTCGCTGTGCCACGGCTACTAGAGGTGCACCCCAGACAAGCAGGGTCTGGAGCGGACCTCAACAGTCGTACAGCGAAGGGGCTAGACTGGTAGAAGGAAAACCAAGCAACAGAAATACTTCATCATCAACATTCTGGGTGTCCACTCAGAGACCCAAACGAAAAGTCAGCAACTACGCAGACGACCAGCGGACAAATCCACAAAGATGGGAAGAAACCAGCGCAAAAAGGAGGAAAACACCCGAAACCAGAACACATCGCCTCCTAGAAAGGACCAAAACTCCTCACCAGCAAGGGAACAAAGCTGGACGGAGAATGACTGTGACGAAATGACGGAATTAGACTTCAGAAGATGGATAATGAGAAACTTTGGTGAGCTAAAAGATCATGTATTAAATCAATGCAAAGAAACTAAGAACCTTGAAAAAAGATTTGAAAAAAGATTCGAGGAAATGATAACAAGAATGGATACCTTAGAGAGGAATATGAATGAATTAAAGGAGCTGAAAAACACAATACGAGAACTTCGCGAAGCAAACACAAGTTTCAATAGCCGAATTGACCAAGCAGAAGAAAGAATATCTGAAGTCGAAGACCAACTCAATGAAATAAAACGAGAAACCAAGATCAGAGAAAAAAGCGCAAAAAGGAATGAACAAAGTCTCCAAGAAATGTGGGACTATGTGAAAAGACCTAACTTACGTTTGATAGGTGTACCAGAAGGGGACGAAGAGAATGAATCCCAGCTGAAAAATACTCTTCAGGACATCATCCAGGAAAATTTCCCCCACCTAGCAAGACAAGCCAACACTCAATTGCAGGTAATACAGAGAACACCACAAAAATATTCCGCAAGAAGAGCAACCCCAAGGCACATAATCGTCAGATTCAACAGGGTTGAAATAAAGGAGAGAATACTAAGGGCAGCCAGAGAGAAAGGTCGGGTCACCCACAAAGGGAAGCCCATCAGACTCACAGCAGATCTCTCGGCAGAAACACTACAAGCCAGAAGAGAGTGGGGGCCAATATTCAACATTCTTAAAGAAAAGAACTTTCAACCCAGAATTTCATATCCAGCCAAACTGAGCTTCAGAAGTGAAGGAAGAATAAAATCCTTTGCTATCAAGCAAGTACTCAGAGATTT